AAACCAATATAGGTCAAGGTACGGCCTTCAACACGGAGCATTGGCTCACACCGAACAGCAAGCTATTAATAAGGGTCAAGGTACGGCCTTCAACACGGAGCATTGGCTCACACCGAACAGCAAGCTATTAATAAGTGGCCTTCAACACGGAGCATTGGCTCACACCGAACAGCAAGCTATTAATAAGTGACACTTATTAATAGCTTGCTGTTCGGTGTGAGCCAATGCTCCGTGTTGAAGGCCGTACCTTGACCTATATTGGTTTACTTTTATAAATTGTTACTTAGGTGGAGAGTTGTCTCATTGGCACTCATACCACATCTTCCTATATCTATTCCCTTAAAATACCTTTAACCACATTCACATGCATTATTCTGACTTAGCAAAATACTTTTTCCTTTTGCCCCTGAAACCTTTCACATACAACAACTTTTTTTCTAGAAACTAGAAAGTTTTTTAAATTGAACATTTTTGTTCACTTTTGAATATTTTATTTTTATTGATTTTGGATTTTATAAAAGATTTAATTACTTTAAATTCAGATGAATATTTTTTATGAATCATAATTTATTTATTTGAAAAAAATATTAAAGTATACAAACTGTTTTTTTATTTACTTCTTTTTTACCAATAATTTTCTGAATCAATGTCTACATAACACAGTACCACAGTGTTAAAACAAAACAAGAGACATAAAAACTACAGTAACTAGAGCTAAGCGATGCGACGCGACACAACTGATTGCATGTAATATTTCACCAAGAAGTCCACACGTGTTACCCTCGTGCTATCCAAAAATCCTGGGGAGAACACTGAGTGTCTCTTTTGTTGTGGGTATGAATGAACACCCTGCCACGTCCTGTCTGTGTTTTAGTTACTTGTTTTTCTGCTTTAATAGATCTGATGATCCGATCCGATCCATTTGCTCCCAACACACAATGGCACCCTACATGTTCTTTCACTTCGTCCGATCACACCCTATTTTTTTTATTCAAATACTGGTTGAATTGTTAGATGTTTTTAGATGTACATATCAAATTAATTATATTTTCATGAATAAAAATTAAATTCATGAATTTTTTATATGAAATATTTTTTTTGTGATTAGATGATTAATGATTAATTGTGATTTATTTAAGATTACTGTTAATTGGCCTATTTACAAAGCTAATTGGTATTATTTTAATAGAGATTGGAGTAAAAACAATGAAGAGTTTAAATGAAATAAACTGCTTCGCTGAGCGCAGCTGGATACACCCGCAGAGGTCCAACCCTGAACAGTTGGGGCAAAAATGGACACAATATTCAAGCTTGATACAGGTCTGAATTTGGATTGCAATTAAATACTTAACATATTATAGGTTTCTGAATAAATGTAGTCAAAGAACTTGAAATTGGTTATATGAATTGAATTTATATTCAAATAAAGATTTCTTCTTCTTGTGCAATACACTGTGATGTTGCTCAATACATGCAATACTTAGTAAATCTGTTGTCAGACTATAAACAAATAAAGTTTAATAATTTCTCAATGTTATATCAGAAATTTATAAAAAACTAAAGGGAGGTTATCTTAATAGATATAAATCAGTCATCAAAGTTTAATGAAAACTGCTCTAAGCACTTTAAAGATATTGTCAATAAACTGGAAAATCCCCTTTTTGTAATGAATAAAACCCCATTAATCGTAAACTTATAGTCTAAAATTTATAAAAATCAAAAGGGAGCTCATGTCGATAGAAATAAACAATTCACCAAAGTTTCTTGCAAATTGGTGAAATTGTTTTTGAGTTATTGTCCGAAAACTGGAAAATCCCCCCTTTTTTAATGAATAAAACCCCAAAACTCTGAAACGGTAAATCCGAAATTTATAAAAAACGAAAGGGAGCTCACATCAATAGATATAAACAATTCACCAAAGTTTCATGCATATTGGTTAAATTGTTTTTGAGTTAATGTCCGAAAACTGGAAAATCCCCCTTCTTAATTGAAAAAAAGCCCAATACTAGGAAACTGAAAATCTAAAATTTTCAAAAAACGAAAGGGAGCTCATGTCAATAGATATAAACATTTCATTAAAGTTTCATGCGAATTGGTTAAAGCGTTTTTGAGTTATTGTCCGACATGTTGACGACGGACAGACGGACGGACAGACAGACAACGGTATACCATAATACGTCCCGTAAACGGGCGTATAAAAATGACATAATTATTTTAAAAAGCTTGTGACCAGTTCCATAGCGGTTTGGAATCTTCTGCCTTTCTTTTACAGGTCTTAGGGATGAATGACTTGGTCATTGATCATAATGACACTCTTCATTATTCATTTCGTCAAAATAATTCACAAAAGAAAAATTGTTTACGCTAAGAATGTATTTTCAATCAATAAAAATAATCCTTATTTTCTTTATTTTATAGCAAAACAATAACTAAAGCAGGATTAAAAACTAATCCAACACACTGCCTTTAAAAAGGGTGCAAACGTGTGGGTGCAGACATGAAAGGGGGCAAATAAGAATGGGAGCGAACATGTGGGTGCGAAGTGAAAGGGGGCTAACGAGAATGGGAGTGAACGTGATTTTGGAACAAACTGACATGGAATCGGTCAAATGAGAAACAAAACTCAGAAATCTAAACCCTTTAAAGTCAGGGCGAGTGGACCCGGATTCAACCCATTCCCGTACGAAATTATAAGGCGTATTACGCCTGGAAATCTGGCGTAAACCAGGCGTAAGTGGTAGTTACGTGTCCAGATCCAGGCGTAAGGGAGTCCTTACGGGCGTAGAAAATATGGTAAACCTGGCGTAAATTGTAATAAGCAAGGCGTAAATTTTCCTACGGGCGTAAAACTGTTGGTATGGCGTAAATCATAATACCCATAATGCTTTGTTGATAAAGGATCATGGGATTTTTTTTTTCAAAATTTGGCTCTTTGGTATTATTTTGCAAGAGTTGGACTTATGGAAGCATTATATATTCAGGGATAATTTTTTTAAGCTTGTTTTGTGCTTTTTGGAAGAATTTGAAATTGGAATTATGGAATCGAATTAATTAATGAAAATTGTGAAATAAAAGGAAAGTAATATACATGGTTAAAGATAATTATGTGAGTAACTAAGTTTTATTTTTTTTAACAGTAATTTTGAATTCTGAAAACCTTCATCCTTGGATGATAACATTAAAATCTTTCACATTAAGTTAAATTGCAGTATTATCATTAATATTTTGGTTCAAATAACATTAATTTAAAAAAAAAACTTAGTTAAAATGCTGCTTTTATTTCAGGAAGAATTAATAGCCATAATTCTAATTTAAACTTAAAACTTATTTGAGCCACTGTGTCTGTCTAATATGTATTTATTTATATAGCTTCTTCAATTAATGGTTAATATTTCAAGTTTCATGTCAAACAATGAGAAATTTAAGCAATAGTACAGAAGTTTGTATCAAATACACAAAAGAACACAGCTAGGGTAATACACTGATTTGAAATAAGTGTAGTATTATGTAAGGATATTACGCCTGGTTTTTTTTATTGACCAGGCATACTCATTTGCATATAACGCCTGGTTTTTTGTGGACCAGGCGTACTCATTTAAATATTAAGCCTAATTTTACACGGTATCGGGTCCGTTCGCGCCCAATACACGTTTGCCCCCTGGGTCCGTTCGCACCCTTTTTTTTAATTCAAAAACCCGATGAATTATAAGATGTTTTTTAAGATGTTTATCTCAAAATAAAGAAAAATTCTGCAATTTAAAAATTTTTTAAATGAAATATTGTTTTAAATTGATTTGATGATTAATTATTACATGTTTATTATGTATGATTACTGTTAATTATATATGGTGTTTACACAGCTAAACTTGATGTAAATTCTGCATGTAGTTATATTAGCATGTATTTAACTTGGTATGAGTAAAAACAATTAAGATTCAAAATTTTATTGTTGTTGAGTTTAAAGCGGTTTGGTATCTTAACATTAAAATAATATTCAGCACAAAAAACCTTTTTAGAAAGTCACTTTATTTTGAAACAATGAAAAAAAAAAAATATAGCAATACACTAACCAAAACACGATTAAAAAGATATTCAACACAAAAAACGTCACTTTATTTTGCATGTTTTGAAACAATGAAAAACAAAACTTATTTATAGCAATACAATAACCAAAAAATTATTCAACACAAAAATCGTTTTTTGAAAGTCACTTCATTTTAAAACAATGAACAAAACAAATATTTATAGCAATACACTATTGTCACTAACCAAAATACGATTGAAAAATTATTTAAGACAAAATCAATAAAAAGGGTGCGAACGTGTAGGGTGCGAACGTGAAAGGGGGCGAACGTGAATGGGCGCGAACGGACCCGGTTTCATTTTACACCTGGTTTCCTCCTCAGTTACGCTTGGTTTCCGCCTGGTTTACGCCTGGTTGACGCCTGGACATCCATTCCGTAACACTACCATGACGCCCTGTTAAAGTATGATTTCTACGCCTGGTTTCCGTGTCATTTACGGGCGTCCCATTTCGTACAGGAATTAAGTCAAAGAACAGTGTGTCACCAAAGGCAAAGAATATAAAAAGAATGTCATTCCCTGTCTGACACATTTTTGGAATAAGAAGTGACAATATACCAAGTCTTTTCATATTCTGTTTCCCATCTATAACCCTTTTCGCCGTCTTCGTCTCCCATTTTTCTTTATTTTCACAGTAATGACCTATTCTATTTTTTTTCCGAACACTGTGTCCGCGAAATTATCTCCCTTGCAGAAATAGTTTAGGAAATTTTGCAAATTTTGAAAGATTACTTTTTTTATCACCCTATTAATAAATATTTTAATATCATTAATACAAAATAATACAAATCGTTTTAGTTCATACAAATATGGTGAAGCTCATCATTATTAACTTTTAGATATGCGAAACTAACTTCGAGAATAAATACTAGGTAATTGAGGTCAAGGACATTCGAACTCGAAACCAGTAAGGGGAAACAACTCTTTACTATAATGCAACCGCCATGTTTATGCGGGGAAGACCGAGTTTTGTGTTTTCAACAAAAAGGTTGATTTAGCGGATCGTATATATCAGAATGACACGTAAGTCTGCCACATAATATTTCATAACATGAACTTGCGATCTATCTATATGACAATAATAATCGCACTGTAAAAACTATTGTAACCAGACGACCAAAAAGTTGTGCTATTGAGTATTGTCAGTATTGAAATTATTGAAACGAAATCGCAAGATACTTGCGATTTCAACTTTTTTCAAGAAAATGAAATAAAAAGATAAACTATTTTATTTTTTGACATATTATCCATTACAAATGGTGTATAAAGTTCTACTACTCGATATTGAATGACAAAAATTAAATCAATCAACAAAATAACGAGTTTGCAGTTGCATGTTTACATAAATAATTTGTTGTTGTTCAATTGATATGCTAATCAAACACCACCTCACATATTGTTTACTTCACAGTCATGACGAAACATAGAAATAGTTCCTACTTTAAGTGTTGGCAGAATGTAAGTGAATAACACCCTAGATTTTATTATATAATTTACATTGCTTGATATAGTCATGTATATTTTTTACAAAAATGTACCATGTTGTACTGTTGTATTTACTCTCAGTCATTGTTTAATTGTCAGGTCAATATTAAATCTTTGCACATGGTAAGCATTTTTGCCCCTTTCATAAAGGCAACTAAAGTGATTAACTTCAGTGGCGGATCCAGAACTTTTTATAAGGGGGGCCCACTGACTGACCCAAGCCCCCCCCCCTGGATCCGCATATGAACTTTTAAGTATATTTAATCATATTTTTTTTAATCCATGATCATGACCATAAAAAAAACACAAAAGACTGGACAGCTTTGTTTGAAATAATATATAGTTTGTATATAGATATAAGAAGATGTGGTATGAGTGCCAATGAGACAATTATGTCTGATTATATCAAAAGTTTGTCTCATACATGTGCATGTCATAGTCATTTAAGTAAAGTATAGCAAAGTAATCTTTATTTAAAGTTGGTTGCATATATAAATATTAATAACAAGGAACATGAGCTCTTAATTAGAGCTCTTTAAGGATTATGTACCCTATTGTTGTTTCAATGCTAAACATGGAAATTTTAAAGAAAATCCAGCCGTTCCCTTGTACTCTAATATTTGACCATTCTATGCTTGATAGATAGAGCATTATTGCATGCAGTGCTAGCAATGATTTCCTTAGGAAAAGTTTATAAATCAAAATATTGGTTAGAACAAATATAAATATGGACCAATTCAAGTACACCTTCTAGGGTGCACTTGACTTTAGTGACTCAGCACAAGGTTTTTTAGAATGTAAAGGTTATTTAGGCCTTTTTGTAAATAACAAACGCTAGCACTTCATGGACAAACAAGTGAGTAATCTATGTTATAAATTTTATAAAGAAAATCTCAGTATAAAGTCTGTGAATTTTCTTCAAAAATCTTATATGCCTTTTGCGCCACATTATCCCTATTTTCTATTTAATGCAATGAAACAATAAATAAAATATAGCTTTGAAAGGAGTTTCCCCTTGGTACATGTATATGTGCAAAATGGCTCATCTCTAATATTCATTATCTTTGCTGTTTTGATATTATTTCACTTTGAAAATTTCAATATTTTTTTTCACACCTTTAAATTTTGGTTGTTGCAGATGCTGATCTGATTGCACAGGTATGTGGAATGGAAAGAAAGAGATATGTACATGTTATCTGGTTGTGGATATATAGATATAGAAAAATATCAGCCCGCGAGCCAGAATATGAAGCTAAATGTCGAGTGAGCCATTTAGCTTCATATTCTGTTGAGCGGGCTGATATTTATCAATATCTATACAATCCACATTCAGATAACATTTTTATCATCTTTCAAAGCAATGTTTTTGATCAAAATTACCTTTTTTAATAATTTCGTGGGAATTGTTATTACTGGAGTGTCTCTGTTATTACTAGGCAACACACGTCATCGACATATTAAACCACGGAACACCTTGCGGCCAAAATACGCAGGGTAAAATATTCCCATTAACTACATGAAGAAAAATGTTTTTTGTACATGATAATGCATATATGGATGTATAATATTTGAAGATGATACAAAAAAAGAAGAAACAAGGCTTAATGATAGATTGAAAGATCGTAGTATTTCATATCACCAGAAGAAGAAAATTTCTACTCGCTGACTGCTGAACAACTTCTAAGTATACGCTGCACAAATTAAAAAAAAATCCAGAAATATTGCATCAAAATGTTGTTTGTATCAAGTCTGAGAGTACATAAATATTTAGTAGTCGTAATTCGTTAAGGAGAAGTTAATTTGAGAAAGACAGGTATTGGTAAATTGTCCATTTTGTAAGTAATACCTCGACATCTCGCACCTTGTACGTGTCAGAGAGGACATGGAAGGTAGGTGTTATTTTTGTACTGACTTCCCCACCAAATTGCATTGGGATGGTATTTGGTTCAAGTTTTTGGGTACCATTTCCTATAAGTGCTTTGCCTTATGTTATCATTGAGGAAAACATATTTTCCGCAGGTATTTTCTTCCCTATTAAAGGAACAATAACAGAACCAGATCACCTGAATTTTTGAAATGTTTTTCAATATTGCTTCGCTGCATACTGTTGGTCCATGTACATTGATATAAATGTATCATTCTTTTGGTAACTTTGAGTTAAATGATAAGATACATCATGTTTATGATTCTTGGAGAAATGTATATGCTTTCAGTGTATTCAACTAGGTAGCTCAGGGGTCAGAGCATCTCTTTATGAGAAGGTCTTAGGTTCAAATCCTAACTTAGTTACACTGAAACAGTAAATACTATTTCAAAAAACCAAGTCAGGAGCCTCTGGCCTTTGTTAGTCTTGTATCATTTTTAATTTTAGTTTCCTGTGTATAATTTGGAGTTTAGTATGACGTCCATTATCACTGAACTAGTATACATATTTGTTTAGGGGCCAGCTGAAGGACGCCTTCCGGATGCGGGAGTTTCTCGCTGCATTGAAGATCCATTGGTGGCCTTCGGTTGTTGTCTGCTCTATGGTCGGGTTGTTGTCTCTTTGACACATTCCCCATTTTCATTCTCAATTTTATAAATGGAATCTTAACATGTTTAACATGTATAAATCATTTAATATTTTGCCTACTTGAATCTATCTCATGTGAATGATCAATGTACATATAGCCAATATAATTATGATTTACACCAGTTTTAACATTGTAACTTGCAACTGATATTTTATATCAAAATATGTAGAAAACCTGACAAATTATACATGCTAATTGATAATCATAAACAGCCGTTAATGCACCCCCCCCCCCAAAAAAAAAAAAATCCTTACCTTTCATTTTATAATTGATTATACATGTACATGTACATGTTATCTGGTTGTGGATATATAGATATAGAAAATTATTGGTGTTTTTATATTGCATCTTCATATTTTTTTGTTATTTGCAGATTGGTTTCAGGTTACATGAAGTAAATTGAAGCTTTAAACAATACTAGTAATAATAGGTTGAAATGCAAGATGATTTTTTTTGGTAGTTTGCTCTCTTTAATCATAATTGCTTAAAGCAAAAATATTTTTACCCATTTTCAGTATAAGACTATTTTTATTTTCTTTACACTTGTAGTATGATACTGATACAGTGTGAGTCTTATTATTTGTAGAGCATCTGGAGAAATTCATATTATTTTAGCAAATTGATTTGATATATGAAATACATTTGTTGGTCAGATATTTATTGCGTTTAGTTTTAAAAAGTTGTTAAAGCATACTGAGTAATGAAAATATTGGATAATCCCACAACTAATAAATGAATTGAATGATTATTATATTTTAGAAATCACTATCACTGTCACTGTCAATTACGCAGAGACGCTTTCTTTTGTTCTTTTTGTTGTCATCTGAGGGTTGTTGATCTGACGATGTCCTATTGGTAAAGGTAAAATTGAAATTTCCACCATGGAATGTTGCATTTGTGAAAAGACCACTCATTGCGGGATGTAAGTTCGAAAAATTAAAATTTCCTTTGTAAATTGACTGTTTACTGTTGTTACTAACAGTTGATTGAGTCTGTGTTGATGTTATTGTCTCTAATACTGGTGAGGTATTTTCTTTATTATCTGATTTGGTAACTGTAGGATGCTCTAATTCTCTTGTTTAAGATAGCATTAATGATGTTTTTTTCTGTTGTTCCAAGCTTGTTTTGGAGTACGACAGCAAACTGTTAACATGTTTACGTCCTGTTCTTTGTACAAATTCTGTGTCTTGCACTCCATTGTCTTTTTGTTTTTGGATTGAACCCTTCCTTGCACTATGACCAGTGAGTCTTTTATCGTTATTGGGTAGTGCTTCCGTGGCCATATCTTTTATTATTTTAGCAATTGATTTAGTTCCAAGTCTTAGATTTTTGTATCAAAGAATTTTTGATTCATAGTTAGGCCACTTTTTTTTTATTAGTTGGTTTATGGGATTCTTCTAAACAAAGGTAGGGTAGGAGGTCGAAAAAAAATATAAAAATAATGAAAAAGGATAGGGTAGGCATGGTAGGAGGTCGAAAAAAAAAATAAAAATAAAAATTGGAATTAATACTGTACGTTTTTTTTACCAAAAATTGAGAAACAAACAATGACATTACTCTATAGTATAATACTAACCATGTATGCAGATCATTTCATGAACTGGTATTAATTCTTGCTGTTTTAAGGATTATGTACCCTTGTGTTGATTCAATGGTAAACATATGGAAATTTTGTAGAAAATCCATAGCCTTTCCCTTTGTACTCTCATATTTGGCAATTTGATGCTTGATAGATAGTGGATTATTGCATGCAATGCTAGCAATGATTTCCTTAAAACAAGTTTATAAATTTAGATATTGGTTAAAACAAATATAAATATGGACCAATTCAAGTACACCTTCCAGGGTGAGCTCGACTTTAGTGACTCAGCACGAGGTGTTATGGAATTTAAAGGTTGTTTAGGACTTTTTGTAAAAAATAAACGCTAGCACATCATAGAAAAATAAGTGAGTAATCTATGTTTA